CCGGTACCTCCATACCCCGCTGGGCCGTGCAGCCCGCCTCCACATTTATTTAAACGTCGAACGCACAGCCACTGGGGGTGTGCCAGACTCCGGGAGGGGCCCCTTAACGGCCGAAGCGCAATAATAAGCCATCCTCGTGGCAATCAAACATTTTATGTGTTGCATTGCATATTTAACTGTTATTTATTTCTTCATCTGTTGTGATGTTTATTCTAACTGTATTGTTGTTTAATGGTATTATTAGCTTTACTTTGTGTTTATTTAGGATTTCTTATCCTCAGACTTTATTTATATTTATTACTTTCTGAGTTGGAAGTACTCACAATACTCCATGCACCTTGCGTGCAGATTCAGGTACACCACAGGGTGAGTGAGGACTCGTGTTAGCTGAGCAGCATTATCCGGGAGTATCGAGGTAGCTGCATGGCGTTTGCAGCCCTGATCTCTCCCATCTATCCTTATTATTTTATTCGTAATTTTCCTAGTCGGACTTGTAATAGGTGGATAATCTGTTTTAGAGGCTCATGTTCGTGACACCAGATTCTGTGGGTTGATTAGTATTTAGTATTTTATTTTGGGATTTTCGAATGTTATAGATTATTTCAGAGATTCCGCATTAAATTGGTATTTTAGTAGTGAATATTTGTTTATCTATCTAGATTGATTGGCTAGGGTTGTGGAAATGGTCGGGCTTGCCTAGCAATGTGTTGGGCGCCATCACGACCGGGGTTTGGGTCGTGACAGATATATTTTAGTTGTACAGATAATGTGACATATTTTGAAGTGTAGAGATTTTGGATGTTACAATATGAATTAATTGAACCTCCAAATAGTGACAATCTATTGTATATATTTTCTTTCCTATACCATATATGAAACCTTATTACCAAAAATGTGCATAGTTTCTAATTTACCCGCCCTGTCCATATTTTTTCTACAGTTATTATACCAATCATTAAATACTAATTAATAGTAGCTGAATCTTCCTAATTTGTCGAGCTAAAATTGAGGAACAGAATATTCTAAAAAGATTTGGCATAAATCAGATCAAATCATATTCTTCCAGATATTCCTATTTAGGCGCGCTACAATTATGGAAGTAAATATTCTTCCAGATATTTTCTACCATTGATAACCATTAAAAAGCTTGAAAGCTATGAATTCAAATTTGGATTTTCAAAAATCATTATTTGTTTGGATTGGGTGTTGTTGAAAATAATCGGGAATATGGTTTGGAGTTTATATCTCAATTTTGAGTTCTTCGAAGAAGAAGAAGA